CCACTGTGATACCTAAAAATATTGACTCTGTTAAACAAAAGATACATTGTGATACCTAATCATATATAAGATGCATAGTGATACCACTGTGTTACATCTTCGATCGACCACACAAACGACATCAATGTGATACCCAAGCACATATATGATGCATTGTGATACCATTGTAGTATCACCGGAGGACGGTGGCCGGAGAGAGAAGAGAGGAGGGAAGAAAGTTTTAAAATACCAAAAATATCCTTGCATTAATATTTTAATTCAAAATTGCCAAAATTATAAATTTCCTAATTTATCTATTGATTTGTGGTTAATATTGGTTCTCATAGTTACTACAAACTAATTAGTTCTCATTTGATTAGGCCCCTATATATATATATATATATATATATATATATATATATATATATATATATATATATGTTTGTTTGATAATGAATGTTTGTAAGCCCCACTCCACCATATGATGATTCATTTTCTCACTCATCATCCTATAGTTGCTAATGCTATCACCATTCACCACATCAAACCCATACATGCACTCTTTCAATAATAATGTTTCCATTATATATCTCGCAAGTGGATCAATTATTAATCAATTTTTGGGTCTTATATGAACGACCTTTTTTTACACGTTCTCATCATTGTTGACATCTCACAACAAATGTACAAGGACATGTAAGCCAATATGCATTTCCAATTTACACTGTTTAAATCTCGTGTGCGTAACGGAGAATCAATTGTATAAAATACACGCATCGAAGAGTCTTTAATAGTTATTTAATCTCGATTTTGGTTTATTTAATGAAAGTATTTGGAAATTAACCCAAATGTAATAAGTGTGATTGTAGGATGACGACGTTGTGGATTGTGGTCCATAATTTTGTCAAACATCTGGAGGGGCATCTTACTTTAGTTGTTATATTTTGACTTTTAATTAATTTCTCTTCGAAAATATGCTCTCATGTTATATTCTCTAGAAACTGTGCTTCAACTTTATTTTGTGAATTATTTAACTGATTTACATATAATCCACAAGTTTATATATGAATCAATTAATTAATTGAAATATTTATTATGATTAACTTTTTATATTTAGAAACAACATAGATATTTATTAGAGTAGAAGAGTTAGGGTCTGTTTACTTGAGGCTTAATGAGCTTAGTGGATAAACCGGCTTATTCGGACAGACAAACAAGGTTGTTTACCTTGGGCTTATTTGCTCAGAAATGGGCTTATTCGCCCAGATGAAAAACTTGTGTTGTCCAGGTTAAGGCAAGGTAAAAGACTTGCCCTACCCTTACACAATAGTCGCGCCTCTCTCAACTCACGTCTCTTCTCCATCGATCAAACACTCTATTGTCGCGCCTCTCTCAATGCAAGATCTTCGAACTCTTCTCCATCAATCGACTGTTGCTCTCTTCTCCATCGGTTGTTGGTCTCTTCTCCATCGATCGACGGCTGTTGGTCTCTTCTCCATCGATCGACGGCTGTTGGTCTCTTCTCCATCGATCGACGGCTGTTGGTCTCTTCTCCATCGATCGATTAAGGTATTTGCTGCTGTTAATTTTTGCTGTTTGCTTAAGGCTTGCTTACCTATTAATATTTGTTGTTTTTATTACATTTGTTTACTTGTTAATGTTTCAAAAATCACACAGCTATGTATGGCATTTGGTGATTATGGGTTTTGGTTATGTTCTTTGTCCTACTTAGGTTTTAGGTTACAATGACTATGAAACATTTGGAAATTAGAAATTGGGTACTCTAGTTTATGCACCTTTAGTTGATCAGTAAATAGAGATTTATGGTATATATCATGGAAAAAAGAAATTTCAAGCTGTTGTTTGCCTTTTTTTTGTGGGTATTTGTTGTTTGCTTACCTACTAATATTTGATGCTACCATCCTCAGAGGTAAATTGATCATTTCTGTTATTCAGACTATTGATTCAGATAGAAAAGTAAACAGCAACATAAATTTATCCAAACAGACAAATTTATCCATACAAGACTTAATAGAAAATTTGGTAAACAGCCCCTTAGAGATGGATTTATACAAATACAAGAGCTTGTAAATGATGGGGACTCTCTCTCTCTCTCTCTCTCTCTCTCTCTCTCTCTCTCTCTCTCTCTCTCTGTGTGGATCTATATATATACTACCTTATAAACCAAATTTACCAAAAGTTTTAAAAACAATTTTTAATAAACAAAGTACTATACATTTATGCATAAAGTCTTAAAAGTCTTAAAAACAACTTATAATGCATTAAGTACTACTACTTTATGCATTCAGTCTTAAAATTTCTTAGTTTACAATTAAAATAACATATAGTACAAGTTACCAATGCACATTATTACCTTTTCTTTTCATGTTTTCAATATACTTTCAACACATTTCACTCACGCCTTCACCCTCTCATACCTCCACCCTCTCATACCTCTATGTCTTCTCCTCATCCCCTAATGTGAGATTCAAACTGATATTCACCATGAGTTAATAAAAGTTATCTCATTCAATTGCTCTACAACTCTCGGTTTCGCTCTCGCTCTCGATCTTTTGATTCTTTGCTCTTGGTGTAAATCGAACACATTTGTGGAGTTATTTAAATATGTTGGAATTAAATATATTGAATTTTAGACTATCATACAATTTTTTTTCATCGATAGACTGTAATTGGAACCATAGCTCTTATTTATTCAAACTGTATTAATATGTAAAGATCAAGTGTAACTTATATCACCATTAAATATTCTCTAATAAAACCAGTAAAACTTCAAAATCGTTAAAATTCACGGCTCCTACTACATTGCACGGATGTACAACTAGTATAATATAAAATAGAGTGCAATTAAAAAGGTGGAGTGTGTGTATGTTTGGGTGGGGGACCAATTGGAATTTTCATAGGGAAGTGATGAAGTATTACTGTTAGTAAAGAGGAGAAGTTGCACGCTTCTAATAATTCAGTTTCTGAACCCTACATTTCAATGCCACCTCTCCTTTTCTTTTTAACCTTATTCATAATTCTATTTAAATATATTTTTTCATTTTCTTTTACTTTCAAATAATTATTAATTGGATAACATATGAGGATATGACTAGACATGACATGACGGAACATTATAACAAACATCATATTAAGGTTATATATCAAAACGATGGTAGATTCGAAACATTTTATTTCTATCACATTCTTATCTTATCTTGTTCCACCTATTTTGTTGGAACAAGAAAAAATTCTTTTGTCCCACGTTGTCCCATCTTGTTCCAGTTCTATTCACATCTCATGTTGTGCTAAACGTAAAACAATGAGTTCTTTTCCTGTCACACGTCGTGCCAAACGTGGGACGATAAATTTTGTTTCTTCCTGTCTTGTCCTATATAACAAACGCAACCTTAAGTTATATTTATCAAAAAATATATTTTTCAACAGTTAAAATTTTTCTTGAACGGTGTATAAATATTATTTATGTAAAAAATTCGGTTTGAAATCCAAGTTTAAATGGAAATGAGAATACAAATTTCAGATCAAAAAGTATTATAAAAATATATAAACAAACATCGTATACAATAAATAAATAAAAAGATTGTTTTATTAGTTACCTAACATTTCAAATGATGTTGTATTGTTTGATACATTACATGTGCAATCAATATTTATTTTAAAAGCAATAACTAAAAAACATGAGTAAATGTTTTTCATCAACTTTACACTAATTAATTATCTACCATTACCATACATTTGTTCTTGTAGTAATTTACCCTTATATATAGTAAAAGAGTAAACATCACATATACTAAAGATATAATGTGGCAGTCTATCTTTTATAATTAAATATCATATCTGTTATAGACTTAGAGATGACAATAAAGTCAAAGGGTATTGTCGACTCCATTTCTCATTCTCATCCCAGGTTCCCAGTCTCAACTCTTATCGGATTTCATCCCCATTCCCAATACATAATCGAATATATTTTTTTTATCTACATAGTTTTCTTGTTTAAATCTGCAAATATCAGATAAAACACAGTAAAAAAATCTAGTTGTTCAAATTAAGACCAATACATAAATTGCAAGGTGTAGGTGTTGTAGGTGATTGCAAGGTGTGGGTGTTTTCATCATGAAAAAAGTTTGAAGATTTTAAAATTGTGATGGTTTCATTTATGTTACGTCCTTTTCCTCTCAATAATATCAAATACGAAGTACCAACTTCTTAACTCTTAATTTTGTTTGGTGGTGATATAAAAATATAAACTTTTAATGGTCAAAGTAAATTAAAATACGACTTTGAATGAACTACAGGAAGAGGAATACGACTAATATTGCACGAAGGATGGGATACCGACATCGATACTGTTGCATGGGGGAGAGGGATTGGGTGAGGGGGTCAGTTAGAAGGGGATGCCGACATCACATGAAAGGGGACGGGGGGACGGGGCAAGATGGGGACACCGAGGGAGGATTGGTGAACTGACTATGACGAAGTAGGGTTAGGGTATTGATGGTTGCTGATCAGTATAACTTGCACTATAAAAGGTGTTCATGCACCGGTTTTTAATTTTTCATATTCAGGAATAAAATTTTATTTAAGTCTTAAATTTGCAAAAATATCTTCAATCTTTTTTTTTTCATTTAATGATTTTAAATTTGACATTGAACTAAAAAAAAGTAATTATATTATTTTTCCTATTTTCTATGACAATTTAATTCTTTTTTTTATTTCACACATTTTTCATTAATTATGGATTGTATGAAAAGGAGAAGAATTGTGAAAAGAATTGTGTGAAAAAAGGAGATAAGATGAGAAGTGTAAGAAGAGATTTGAACCTTTGATCATCTTTAATATCAAATTCACCCATAAATCGTGTTTAATACGAGGATTGATCCGGTGCATTTCATCCTAACGTGCATTTATAATACACATATAAACATGGTAACCCTCAGATAATACACATATATAAATACCATTTATATTAGGATTACTTTTACTATAACTATACCAAATAATGTAAAAACCCAAAATATTCAAAAATCAAGTTGTCTTGTGATTAAAATGTGACAATTTTACCACATTACCCTTCTATATGACGTTTAGAACTCGAACCCGAACCCCCCGACACCATATTTGCGGCCTCGCCGTGTGAGAATCTTTGCAACTGTATCATTTTTGCGTAACACCCATCCGGGTGGTTCTTCAACAGATGCGAATGTGATCCTTGTTCGGCCACCTTCCCGTCATCGATCACCGCAATCACATGAGCATTGCGTATCGTCGATAGCCTATGTGCAACGACAACCGTCGTTTTCCCCGAGCAGATACGCTCGAGAGCCTCTTGAATGCACTTCTCCGACTCTGCGTCAAGTGCACTTGTGGCTTCGTCTAGTAGCATCACCTCGGCTTTTCTCAAAAACGCCCTTGCGATGGCCACACGTTGTTTTTGCCCTCCGGAGAGCTGCACGCCTCTTTCCCCTACGAACGTTTTGTATCCGTCTGGTAATGAGGATATGAACTTGTGAGCGTTTGCGAGGGTGGCGGCTTCCGTGATCTCGGCCTCGGTTGCCGACTCGTGTCCGTACGCGATGTTTTCATAGATTGTGGTGGCGAAGAGGCACGGTTCTTGTGGGACCACGGCGATGTGGCGGCGTAGTGACTTTAGGTTGTATTTCCGGATATCTTTTCCATCGATTATCACACGTCCGGATGATGGCTCATAGAATCTTTGTATCAGTGCGATCACCGAGCTTTTCCCGCAACCGCTTGGGCCCACCAGGGCAAGAGTCTTTCCGGCTCGAGCTCGTAGACAGATGTCACGGAAAACCGGGATGTCAGGACGAGACGGGTAAGAAAAGTCGATGTGCTTGAGTTCCACTTCACCGCGGAGACGGTCAGGGACAGGAATCGCGTCGAGCTCATCGGGCTCGATCTCGGTTTTCCGGTCAAGAAGATCGAACACCGACTTCATTGCTCGGCCGCCCTTGATGAAATCGGGAGCAAGAGTTAGGGTCTCGGCTGCACCATTTGCTGAGACCATGAGAACCATGAACACCCGAATCGTCTTCGAGAAGTCGGAGATACCGTGCTTAACTAGCCATGAAGCATACCAAAGTCCAACGGCATATGAAGCATAGAGCAAAAATTGAGCCACCCCGAACCCGCTCCCAGCGATCTGACCCTTCCAGAAGCATCTACGAAGCGGCTTCTGGAGACTCAACGTAAAAAGGTTCACGATCTTTGCCTCCGAGTTGAAAGCGGCCACCGTTCTCATATTGGCCACGGCCTCCCCTGCTAACTGTGTCGCTTTTGCATGAGCACCTTCCAAGTCGCCGGAAAATCCTTGCATGAACATTTTCTGTCGAAAAACACACACAATATTAAACTGCAAGCAGCAAAAACTCAGCAGGCCGGTGGCCGGGTTGCCAGTCGGCAAATACCAAAAACAACGACGACAATAGCATACAGACCTGCAAAACAGTGGCTGCAACCACCAACGGGAAAACAGCGACAAGAACAAGCGCCAACCGCCACTGTAGAACAAAACCGGCTGTGCAGGCCACCAACATGAGGGCGGAGTTCTGCATAATCACCGAAATCCGATCCCCAATCGCTGACCGAACATTATTAGCATCTAGAGACAACCGAGCTGCAATTCTCGAGCTCTCATTCTCCTCCTGATCGAACCATGCCATCTCATTCTTCAAAACTGCCGCCAGCATTTTCTCTCGAACCCGTTTGGTCAAGTTTTCTCCCACCACATCCCAGAAAAAGTGCTGCAAAGTGTTGAAAATGAGCGCAGCCGATGAGACCCCGATCAACAGATAACAATATTTCCCGATTTCTCTGATCATGTAGGCATGGTCTTGGTTGTAGTACACACTGAGAACCGCACTAAGAACATAAGCGAAAAACGCGCTGAGCGACCCACAAACCACCGATCCTACAGAGCCAATCAAAGCATACGTCCATTCAGGCGAGTTCATTTTCGCAAGCCGCCAAAAGGAACTTGCTTGCTCCTTAAACGGAAGCTTTTCGTGACGGTAACTAGGGTATCCACCTTCAAGCGACAGACTGAAGTCCGATGTCGAGAAATCCGATAACCGCCTTGAGTATGGCGATCGGCCGTAAGACGAGTTCCGAGTGATTATCGGTGAACTCACTGAATTCCTCGCACTTGAAGGCCTAAAACACAAAGAAGAACCGTAAATAAACAAAAAAAATCAGAAGATCATTAAATTGGTATGAAAAATACCTGGCACTACTCTTTCTGGCATTATTCATGGCGGTTTCATGGGCAACTTCTTGCATCTTAATGAGCTTGGCGTAGGTACCGTTTTCGCCCTTTGCGATAAGATCATCGTGAGTTCCCATTTCCAAAACACCGCCCTGCTGCAGAACCACCACTAGATCCGCCTTCCGAATGGTGGAGAGACGGTGGGCGATCACCAGAGTCGTCCTCCCGATCATGAACCGATCCAAAGCCTCTTGAACCAGCTTCTCAGATTCAGAATCCAAAGCACTCGTCGCCTCATCCAAAAGCAAGATCGCCGGATTCTTCAGCATCGCCCTCGCTATGGCTATTCTCTGCTTCTGCCCACCGGAAAGTTGTAACCCCCTTTCCCCTACCTGCAATTTTTTTCCAAAACAGAATCTTTACAATAATTTTCCGGAATTAGTGTAAACAACAGAAATTAGATGAAATTTTTCTTTATTTAATTGTTTATCTGAGCATCTAATCTTGCATTATTTCCGTAATTTTTGTTGGTCAAAGGGGTTTCTGGTCAAACTAAATCTTTGATTTTGTTCTTGATTCTTGTTTACTTAAAACTTGATGGACGATTTTGATGTTGACTTTTTGGTCAACCATCATCCCCAGTTGTTTGTAGAATCAATCTGCACATGCACTGTTGACTCAAGAACCATGTTGGTATCATCTTCCATTAATGGATATCCTTAAAGAAAGCTTCACCTTCCCATATTTTGACTTTTTTGTAGGGTTTTTTTGTTGACCAAATGGGCCATTCATTCAATTCAGTAGAATGTAACAATGTAGCAACCAAAAAGCACTCAACTTTGACAAAAGAAACCAATCCATCATAATGTTCACCTTCTAGGCAAAGCGACCTTATTTTACCCCCCAACATACTCCACCCAAGTGAGCCCCACTAAAACAAAAAAAGAAAACTAGTAGGTCCTGCTGTAAAATGACCAAAATATCCTTACGATGCTAAAAAGACCACACTTTATGTTTGATGAAGTTACAAGATTTGTGTATCTTGATATATGGACATTGATGTTAAATATGTCTAAACGTACTAATAATAGACTGTTTATAGTGAGTAGTGGACTGACCTGAGTATCGTAGGCATCGGGTAATTTGATGATGAATGAATGAGCATTGGAAACACGAGCCGCTTCCTCGATCTCGACCATGGATGCGTCGGGTCGACCCAAAAGTATGTTTTCTTGAATGGTTGTAGCAAACAGTGCTGGCTCTTGGCTAACCAACCCAATCTGTTGCCTTAACCATCTCAATTTCAGTCCTTTAATGTCATGCCCATCAAGCATTACTTGTCCTACATAAAGCAACACAAAACCATTACTCCCATTGATATCTGTACATTATGTTTACAAAATAATGCCTAATATTCTGCCCTAAACACTAGGGCAAGCAAATCTGTCAGAGATATAAAAGAAGTGTCTAAAGGGACACATGGGTTGTACAGTAGGCCTAAAGATTTGTACATAGGTATGTTGGTTGAACTGAGTTATGAAGAGTCATTTTCATTTACCTGAAGTGGGATCATAAAATCTTTCAATGAGGGAAACCACTGTGCTTTTCCCAGAGCCACTGCTTCCGACCAGAGCAATGGTTTTTCCAGCAGGAACACTTAAAGTAAAATTATTGAGAATTTTAACATCTGGTCTTGAAGGGTATGAAAAGGTGACATTTTTGAGTTCCACAAGCCCCGAAACTGAGTCTAACTCCAAACCCGCTTCACCATTTCTGTCTATGCTTGGTTTGTGATCGATAATTCGAAAGATTTTCGCTGCAGCTACTCGGGCTTTTGCAAATGCAGACATACTTGGGGCAGATTGCCCTAAAGCTCTGTGTTTTAATATATAAAGAGAAGGTTGATCAGAAAAGGGTGAGTTTTTAAGAGAAAAAATGATGATTGTGGAGTATAGAGTGCTTACAATCCACCAATCATGACGGAGAACATGGTGGCAATGGCTAGTCCGCCATTGGTGTGATGGTGGCGAACAAGATAGCCTCCATACCATAGAAGAAGTGCGTAGCAACAAAAGACGGTGAAATATGTTGCTCCTAATCCAAATCCTTTAGAAAATCCACTTTTGTATCCAAGTTTTTGTGAGATCTTTAATGCGGAAGAATAGGCTTGTAATGCTCTTGATTCACCCACATATGCCAAAACGGTCCGAATTTGTACAATCGTCTGCATATTTGGAAAAATTAAGAAAATACTCAAATGGTAAAACACGGCTTTTTATTATACATAAACAATAGTTTCCTGAATTAAGCTCTAGTTCAACAACACCCAGATGGAGAAACAGATAAAGTTTTCATTTTTACTTAAGTTCTGCTCAAAATCAGGAGCAACCAGATAGAAAGAAAATGTTGAATTCACCTCAAAATCAGCAATCCCATAGAGGAAACAAGGAAAAATTATGTTGTTTGCTTGATTTAACAAAAGTTCATCACAATCCGGATAGAAAAAACGGATAAAAATTCGATTTTTGCTTGAATTTAGCTCAAACAGCAACACCCAAATAGAAAAACAGAGGAAAACCTGTTGATTTCTTTTCAAACAGGAAAAAAAGAGCAAATAAATGACTGATTTCTTGAATTTCAATAAAACTGGATGGCAGGCAGTTATACTTATACTGTAATTTAATCAAGCAATACCCAGATGATGAACAGTGATACTTTTGCTACTGGTTTTAAATCCTTGCTAAAAAGGGGGGGGGGGGGGGGGGGAGGGGAATAGAAAAGTTACAGCAAAAATCAAGATAATGACAAACACGGTAATTTGATGGAATCTCACCTGCTCAGCAATGTTTCCAGCTTCTGAAAGAGCTTCTTGACTTTTAGAAGAAAGTTTGGATAATGTGGTGGTGTGAATACCTCCAATTACTGCAATTAAAGGCACCACAGCTAGTGTTACCAGTGCCAATTGCCAAACTGCTGTAAATCCCACCAAAAATCCAGACACAAATGTTGCCATATAGTGTATAAAATTCCCCAGCTGCCATACGCACACAAACACCAAAAGTTATGGAAGCTATAAATCCCAAAAAGTAACAAAAAAGAAAAGAAAAAAAAGGACTCCAATTTATATACCTTCTCACTAATGGCATCTTGGACATTAACAGCATCTGTGTTGATAGCAAAGACAACATCTGAAGTTCTGACTTCAGTGTCAAAGAACTGAATGTCTTGGCTCAGTGCTGCTTCTAAGTATTTGATCCTCATTTTTGTTGATTGCCTCTCTCCTGTCCACATCCAACATGATATCTCTGCAAAAAAATAAAAAATACCCATGTCAATTTTTCATTCCTTTTCAAGAATCTTTAAGAAATAAACCCTAAATTCAGAAAAAAGTTTTGAGTTTTTCAGAGTTGAATGATCATACAGACCTGCCCATGAAGATGCCCATATTGCAGCTCCAACCACAAGAAAGTAGAATGCATACTACAAGACCCATGAAGAAAAGAAGATAAATTAAACAAAAAGAATCAAATCTTTTTGAAAAACGATTTGGTAAAAGAAGAAAGTTGATACCTTTAAGACTTCTTGAGACATTTTATCAATGTTATTGGCATTGGAACCAAATGAATTAACAAGATCAGCAAAAAATCTGAGGAAAATAGGCAAAGAACAGCCATGAACAAAAGCACCAATTGTTCCAATTCCCATCAATACGTAATCTAATCCATCTGCAAATCTAAACAACTCTCCAAACCCAACTGCCGGATTACTGCTGCCTTTCTCCTCCTTCTTCTTCTCTTTCTCTCCTCCACCATCGATTTTACTATTTTGCCCCTCAGCTTCCATTCCCAATCTTGTCTTTTGAGCTTCTCTGTCTTCTTCAGTGTGTGGGTCTGAGCTGAATGGTGGATTTAGATTTGGATTTGGATTTGGGTTTTCAGATACAAGTTCAAGACCTTGCATTTCAGACCATCTCCACTGCTCTGTGTCTCTCTTTATCTCCTCTTGGGATTCTTGTGATGGCATTTCTTTTATTTTACAATTCCCTCTCTCTCTCTCTCTCTCTCTCTCTCTCTCTCTCTCTCTCTCCTCACCTTTCTCTCTCTCTCTCTACATAGAATTAAAGACTTTGGAGTTCAGTTTTCTTTTCTTTTTGTTTCCTTATTTACTTTTACCCTTTTTAACACCTAAACAGACCTTTTAAAGCATAGTGTGCGAATAACTGGAGGGAGTGATTAACGGTAAATAAAGGGTCATTAATAAGTGTCTTGTCAAACATGTCTTAAATTCAATTCTGATTAAATAAAGGGTATCGTAAACAAACACTCTTTAGCTCAAAAATCATTAACTCTTGTATGTAAAAGAAATGTCTTATTTTAAACAATATCAAAGGAAATCTGTAAAAATAGATTTTAAAGATTCATTAAACGTTCACACATCTTTAAAGTTAATTATTAGTTTATTGTAACTTTTTATTGTTGTAATAGGTTTAATTAATAAAAGTTACAGTGAAAAGTATATTAATCCCACAAAGAATTTGGAAGAAGTTCTTTAAATTCTCGTTTTTACTCACATAAACAATTCACTCCATAATCTGATAGATCTTTTGAAGAACTGATTAATCGGACGAGAATAAAGATAGAGTCCCGTTCTACATGTCAATATCGGCAACAATGAAATTTATAGTAAGAGGAAAATCCACGCTGATATGACAATAAAAAGTGGCATTTTGAGGTTTTTTAAAGTCACTCTATAACAGATGTTGATATAAATTTATTGTTTTACATTTTCACAAATAAAAAAGAACTAAAATTTTATGACATTTTAAGAGTAAATAAATAGTAAAATATTATTATATACTTGCAAGGTGTTAACTTATTGAATAACGTGTAAATATACGATTAAAATAGTAATTCAGATGATTTAATTGGTGTTTATATTTAATTTGAATTAAAAAATAAATTAATGGGAAAGTTACAAAAATAGTAAAAGTTAAAAGGGATGAATTGAATGCAAGATTGTGTAGAAGACTTGTGGTATTGGTAAAAACAAGAGTTGATGACGTAAGCAGACAGGAAACACTGTCAAAACTTTGAGTCTTGAGTTTCTTTGACCACAATCCCCTCCATTGACTTCACACTCTTAAATATATAATTTTATTTTTTTATATCTTAATTTTGTGATCATTATAATATTTGTAAAATTAATTCATCTAAAAATAATCGTCATTTTTTTTATTTTGAGTCGTTTCGGAAAATAAATTATTTTCTATTAAATTTGACCTATTTTCATTGGCATATGTCAATTATTATATATTAGGGTTGTTTATTAAACGTTTACCTGATAAATGCTTATTAGGTCACTTTACTTTATCGAATGAATATGATAAAGATTGTGAGTCTTTTCAGGTAAAACGATGACAAAAAACAGAGGATCTTATGGGATAAGTAAAAGTGACGACTCTTACCTAGTAAAAAGTTATCGGATAAAAATGTTGCATATGATTTCGTCTTAATATATTAACATTTTACCCAGTAAATTAAATAAAAAGGTTTTAACTATTACCCTTAAGTGCATATTGGGTAAACTTTAGCTAAACAACTCTTAGTAAGATTTGTAGTTGTGTTATAGATTCCATTGAATTCTATTGATATTGAGGTAGTGCTTTATGTCCCACATCAATGAGAAATAGAACTTTGAGTAACATACAAGTTTTAAACCATTAACTTCTAATGATTTTATTATTAATAACAATACTTTGTAGAATCATAATTACTGTCATTAGGATTGTAAATGAAGCCAACCGACACGAATGAAGGTTTGTACGTGTTCGTTCATTTAACTTAATTGAACATAAACGGTAAACGAACGAAAATTTTATATGTTCACTTAACATAACTGAACAAACAAGAACGTAACTTTTTTGTATTCTTGTTTGTTCATTAAGAAATTTTTTTTGTTAGTTTTTGTTTATTAAGATGCTAAACGAACAAAAGGATATAAGTAAACATAAATAAAAGACAACTACTACTACGATAAATTTAGGGGGATCAAATAAAAATGGAATTCTAAAACACTTAAATTTAATGATTGATTATACATATTAAGTCATAATATATAAATATATTTTTATATGTAAATAAACGTAAACGAACATAAATAACGTAAACGAACAAACATAAATGAACGAACAACACAGTGTTCATATTCGTTCATTTAACTAAACGAACAAAAAACTGTTTATCCGTGTTCGTTTGTTTATTTAAATAAACGAACTTTTCACCGGACATACGAATCATTCGCTGAAGTTGTCATATACAAAAAAAAAACCTATAGCAAATTAGTAGGATTAGGTTGTACAACTTAACAAATAGTACTGTGAATAACGTTATGACAAAGTATTACAACGTAATAAGAATATCTCTAATAGATTTTAAAAAAATTAAAATAGAAAATCAAATTAAAATCCCTTAAAAAAATTAAATTCAATACTAACAGTTTCTTCCATTTTTTGAGATCATAACATTAATTATATTATTAAAATTATTTATATGTTTAATAAAATATTGTATATTTCTTTTAATTTAATTTCAACACTATTTATTGATGGAATATTTCTTTTAATTTAATTTCAACACTATTTAATTTTAGAAGCAGATGGAGTAAGGAAAAAACAATTTAAGTACATAAAGAAAATATTAAAAATACTTGAAATTTAATGTGGCATGCAGTTTATTGACTCTGTCTTTGTTGTACCTCTTGTCCTGGATGTTAATAATATATTAATATTTACATATATTAATTTAGTAAAATAAATAAAATAATAAGACGAGCCACATCTATTTTCAATTGCAGAATTCTTTTTTTTTTAATTAATTGGTTTTATATTGCATAAACAATCTTTATGTATTTCCATACAAAAAGTATAAAATTAAATTCACTCAATTAAAAAAGTGATTCTAATAACATTAATATCTTTTAATCAAATGGTGTTATATAAAAGTTTATTAGGGGTTCGTTTATTAAACACTTATCGAATAAGTCCTTACTGGATAAACACTTATTTATATCACTTATTTTACCAATTGAGCATGATAAGGACCAAGAATATTGTCAAGTAAAACATATAACAAGGACCGAGAGCCTTACCTAGTATGTTGGAGAAAAGACTCTTACCCGTTAAGAACTTGCTAGGCTTAAGACGCTTGCAAACAATCTATTTTGATTGTTGGGAATGATGCACGGATAAGGTAAGTGAGTGTAATTTCTCTTGCCGGTAATCGCTTACCCTCGTTTTGGGGGTAAGAAACCGCGAATACAATTACATGAAAATCTACTAAGGAATAATTAATCAAATTGTACGTGTTACATGAAAATCTTATCAGAAACCCGCATTTGATGTGAACACGTTATGAGTACATGGAAATTTACAAAAAAGAAAAAAAAATACCAATTAATCATTTGTGTATAACAACTAAAAATTTGAACCACAAAAGTGGTGTCTGATTAGTTTAAGCTTAGCTCTAAAGGTCAAATGTATTAAGATGTTTCAGGTTCAAATCCAGGAGAAATAAAAATCCTCTTGTGGCTACGGAGGTTCAAATGCGGTGACTCTAGGCTATCTGTAAAGCAGGTGGTCGTTCTGCGATTAGTCGGCTCGCATAACGGGTTGAATATCCAAGTTAATAAAAAAAATTAATAAATATTATATCGAATAAGCATTTTGAGTACATTTTCATGAAAATATTTAATATAATATGCAAAATATAGGGAATACTTTTATAAAAAATACTTTTTATTATCTTCATAAATAAATAAAAAATATTTTTTAACAACCACAAATATATAAATATAAAATAAGTCAACAATAATAAATGATGATCAGTATTATAGATAACTTGGGTATCACATCTTCAATACTTTTCTATATGTAATATAATTACATACATAATGAATTAAATTTCAATAACTATTTATATAAATTACATATTAATTTTAATATATTTAGGCTATGTTTGGCAAATTAGCTGATAAACTATTAAAACAATACTTCAAGTAGCGTTTCAATAAGCTTATTTTTGTCAAAAATGCCTTATTATTTCCGACATCTATATTTTTTTCACAGAAGATACAAAACCAATCAAAATGTCTCAATATTCAACCTACCGGTTCTTCAGCGAAGGATCATGTGAGAAGAAAAGTTAAAATGAAAAGCGTAAGAAGGGATCTACACCCTTGATCACCTTTAGTCTCAAATTCACTCATTAATCGCGCTTGATACATGGATTGATCCGATGCATCTCATCCCGATGCACCTCATCCTGATCTATATCCAAATGTGGAGATCTTTTCTTACGCTTCTCACCTTAACTCTAATTCTCATCGAAACCCAACCCCCGATCCTTAACCTAACCTATTTAAATTATGATTCGTTTTAAATGGAAAAGAAACACTTATTTGATTCATTTCCCGTCTTAATTAGTTCATTATTCGGTCGAATTAAACGTTATAGAATGTTAATTATTATAGTAATATTTATATTTGTTGAAGTCAAAAGCAAAGACAACATGAACAATGGCTTTGCTTTATTAGTCAATGAAATCAGGTCTAAAAAATATTAAAGGTGGATAGATAGTCGGTGGTTTTACTATATAATAAAAACCATTATAAAAAAAAGTATCAAAATTATGTTTTAATATATGTATTTTTAGATAGTCTTGCACATAAAATACATGCTTTTGGAGCATGTTCGACAGTTGGTCGTCTACTCGTCTCCAACCAATATATTAACAATCAAATTTATTGATCATATTTTTTCAACTAGTACCAGCTGAGTCGTTTGACAATAATTATATGTTAGAAATTCAGTTTGACAATAATTAGCTTTGCAAGCCATGTCAATGTCCATTTTTTGATTTTTCTTTAATAATTTAAATAAACTATAATTTTATATAAAACATATATTTTATGAATTAGTAATACTAATTTATTTTTTTAAATAAATTAATTATTCTTATTTAATATAT